GAACTTTTCCTGTAACAGCTTCTTCCATTTTGCCTTAATTAGGGCAGACCAAAACCAATTGGAAGGATTGTCTCTCTCAGGTTCACTACTACTTTCCTGCTAGTGTCCAAAAGGAATAATCAAGCACATCTTACTCAGACTTGGATGGATAGAAAAATCGGTGACTGGCTAGTCTTGCAAAGCGCGATCAGATGCCAGTGGAGTGGACACACACAAGGGAGAGACATCTGAGAAGTGCTACAGAATGGTAATCATTCTATAGATCAGATAAGGACAACTCAAATTTGGCACCTGTCCTTTGTAAAACCTTTTAACTGTAGACTCCCCTTCAGAAAGGGTAATCTCAGCCCCTCCTTTGTGATGGTAAATTACATGGTTTCTAAGGCATTTCTGTACTGTAGCTGTAACGTTTTAAAAAAGAAGCATAACCTTCTCCCAAGACATAAGACTAGAGGAAGCTAGTTACTCTGTTCTGAGAGTAGAGCATGAATAGCATGCAGTAAAATAAGACTTAGATCACATTCTGTAGAGTGAGGCTGGGAAAAAAGCATTACGAAATAAAATAACAAAATCTAGTCAAAGGCTTGACATTTACTGTTTTTACTAGTAAAAAGTAGTAAATTTACTACTAGTACAAAAGACTAAGCAAAGTGTGGGAAACAAAGGCTTCATAAAGCAATTTGGTTTGGAAAGATAGAATGAGAGAAGGTAAGATGTAGACCGTAAAGAAGCAACTATGGGAAAAGAATTGCATGCACTCTCTGGCTTTAAAAAGTTCAACACAAAAGCCAGATTGTCAGTCCTGTATGAATTCCTATCTAGCTTTAAGTTTATCACTAATACTATAAATCCTTTCACTGAATAATTTTAGCGAAGCTTCTCAAACCTTATCTAGGCATACTTAACCATATCATGAAAGTCCTAGGACTAATTTTTCACACTTTACTCAGATGTAATACTGAAACTAGATTACTGTCATTTGCTAACTCTCATATTCAAGCACAAAATAGTTCTGGCATTTCTGTGGGCTCTCTGCTGTGTTTGAATGGAGACAGTATATGCTGGTAAGTCAGATATGTTCTTTCCATCGCTGAACACCTCAGAAGAGTGAGGCTTCACTGTTTTCAGTAGCAGCCTTCTAGGAGGCCTCTGGAGCATGGAGGGGAGGAGATGGAGAAGAAGGAGAGGGAGAGGGAAAACCCACCCCACATATTCTCCTGACGCATAGGACAGGAGGTTGTGGACTCCATCCTTGAGGTATTTGAACGTTGACTGGACAAGGCCTGAGCAACCTACTCTTTCTTGGACCTGCTTGAGCACGGTGTGGACTAGAGACCTCCAGAGGTCCAACTTGAGTTATTCTACAATTCCACATGTAGACAAGCTAGCTACAGCAGGATGACAAAATGAGTTATGCTGTAGTCTTAAGGGGAAGAATAGAGACAGCTTAAGAGCCACTGTAAATCTGGGAAAGGTAGAAAAAAATTGGGAAAGTTGTAATGGTTGAAAGATCACAGGGAAAGTGGAAAAATCTCTTCCCAGCTTCTGTGTCATTAAGGAGGCACTTGTGGATTAAATAATTTCTTCTAAGTGGGTCATGTGTTTTTGAAAAATACATGCGAGAACAAGAGAATTGAAAGTGACCCTCAATAACACTAAGCTTCTGTATTTTTATAGCCCAAGCACAGTGAAATATTAATGATATAAAAAGGTCAAATATAAGTTTGGAAAGCAATTTAGTATTTAAAACTGTGTTACAATAAATTAAGGGTGCTGGCTATGCAACTAGATTGACATGGGATCTGCATGTCAGGGCCCTGAGTATACTAATAGGCCTTAATGGCCCTGACCAGCCTCACCAGCGCCTCCACCCAGCCCCTCTGCCCTGTCACCCAGGCCCAGGACCCCTTTCAGCTCAGGCATGAGCCTTCAGTCCCTGCCTGGGCTATGTTGTAGGTGTGCGAGTCTCCAGCTCCAGCTGTGCTGCAGCTGAGCCTGGCCATGGACCCTATTGATCCAGGCCCAGACGAGCTCGTGGACTGACCTCCCGTCCTACCCTCAACCTGCCTTGTCACCATGGACATGTCTGGCGATCACTGGCTGTGTCTGACCCTGTTTACCACCACTGGAGCTGACCCTGACTTGCATTTCTGGCTTGTCCACAAAGATGAGGCAGGTCCGAGGCCTTGTTTGAGGATCTGGACTCTTGACTGTTCCCGACTACCGCCCTCAGGTATGCCCTGCTTGCCTTCCTTAGCGCTGTGGGCCTGGACCCTGGCTGGCAAGACCCCTGCCCTACCAGTCGTGTTACTGCGCTGCTCCTGGCTCTGTGTCCCTTAGGGAGCAGCCAGCCCTCGCTGCACCCTTTTCAAGGCCTCAGTCGAGTGCAGTGGGGCCTGGCCCATGGCTGTGCAAGGCCTTGCCCCTACAATTCCTCCGGAGTGGTCAGCCTGGTCCCGGACTGTGATGTCCCTATAATGCTGAGCCTCTGCCCAGCCCCAGGCTCCTGAGTGCACCGTCCTCCCAAAGCCTACCCAACGGTCTCCAGCAGCTCCCTGGGAGAAGGTACCCCCCAGCCCCAAGTCTCGCATGCCTTGTCCTTTTCCTCATTCCGTATCCTTGCGCTGGCTCCATGTCCCTTGAAATGGACTACTGACAACCCACAGCAAATACATGCCTCTGCAGTAAGTCCCATCTGAACCCAGACCTCTAAGGTGTGAGAACACACACCTGCTGTCAGGGCCCTGAGGGCACTAACAGACCTTCATGGCTTGTGACCAACTTCACCTAGAGCCCCCACCCATACCGTCTGCCCAGGGGCTGTGTTTAAACTTTCAGTCCCCACCTAAGATATGTTGCGGTTATGCCTGTCTCCAGCTCAGCCACAGACATGCCTATGCCTGGCCATGGGCTCTGTTGATCTGGACCCTGACTCGTGGACTGACTTCCTGGCTTGACTCTGGAGCTGCCTCATCACTGCGGACTTGCCTGGTAATCACTGAGCTGTTACCGTCACTGAACTTGCCCCTGACTTGCATTTCTGGTTTGACCTTGGAACTGCCTCATCACCACAGAGGTTTGATGATCTGGACTCTTGGTTGACCCGGACTACCATCCCTGGGCCTGCCCTGCTCACCTCACTCAGGGGCTGTGGTTGCCTGCCAGCCTTGTTATCATGCTGGGCGGCTCCTCTCTCTTAGGGAGCAGCCAGCCCTTGCTGCTCCCCAGCACTGGGAGCACAGGTTTCACTTGCATTAATTCAGCAACAGAGTGCCAGAGAATTGTGAGGGTTACAACTAGACTGGTAAATATTTTAAAGCATAGAAGCTTATCATGATGATTTCCTCTCTTCTGCTGCAGAGGCTTGAAACACTGAATACTGAGAATATTCACTATTGGAAGTGTATTTGATCTTCAGCCAGGTCTTGAAATGTAACAGCCTCTCTGCAATAATGTTCTGCTTATACATTAATTGTTCATTTTCGTGAAATTGTAAAGAGAGAGTGCTGAAAGTAGTTAAAACAGAGACTTTCATGCTGTGGCAATAACTGTATGCTTTTGAAAACCATTGGCACCAGACTTAATTCTTAGACATTATAATTATGTGAGGGCTCATTCTCCGTGAGTTTGCTCTAGCTTGTCTTCCCTATTTAATTTACATTATAATATTTTGTACTTTTCTTCTAGGCTTGAATAGGAATATTGTATTAGGCAGGCAGGTGATTGGATTCTGATCTCTATTACAGTTAGCGCAATTCCATTGATTCTGGTAGAGTTACTAGGATATGTGGTAATTTAATTGCAGTTAGAATTTAATGCTTCTTTTTTTTTTTTAATCTCTGGATGTTCAATCCATAAACCTACTTTTTTTTTCTGTTAGAATGGAAATTAATGGATGCTGTGGTTTTACTCTTTATTTTACATTTACATTTCAGAGCCTTAATGTCAGCACAGCAACACTGTTCGCTTCATCCTGATGTTAGCAGGTGACTCAGGAAATAAAAAAGAGCTGTCTGGTGAACAAGAGGCATTTACCAGCCTAGTAAGCAAGGTGCCTACTCTCCAAACGTAAATGCTTCCATTATCTTCTTTACTGATAAACAAATGGACAAACATTTAATTCTCCATGTTTCTATCAGCTAATTACATGTGAAGAGTTTTGAAAACAAAGACCTTTTGGTAGGTAAAAATTATGAGTTTTTTTTTTTTTAATTTACTTAATCTGTGCTCCTTTAATAGTGTGTTCCCCCATACAGCCAATTTTGATAACTGTAGTAGTTTAAGTAATTTGTGTTGAAATATCACATGAATAGCATAGTAAGGGGTTGCTAAAATGAACTAGTCAAAGAGCTGAAGCATACGAGATGTAAAACTTCAAGTTGAGTAATTAATTCAGACCAATATCATAAGGAATATAAATAAAAGAACAAAAATACTCTGTGTTTGTGTGTAACATACACATAAAGCATATATACCCATATAAAAAATACACCGGTGCACTAGTATACACACATATACACACTTGTCCACAAAGATAGTCTGGACCTAACAACGATATAATAATGTCTAGTCATTTAGGCAGACATAGTGCAGTTGAATTTGCACTCTCTGCTGTAATTTATGGTCTACTTACATTCTTTTTTTTTATACTACCCCTTTACATTTCAACAGATTTTTTTATCATTAAAAAAACCTACCACCCATAAGCTGAATGCATAATGTCTAAGTCTGAGAGATTTAACTTTTTGTCCTTCTGTCTTTGAGACAAATCAAGCATGCCCTAGACACAAAAATTATCACAAAAGAATAATCTTCAATACAGTAATTATTTTGTCCTCTTCAGGTGGGCTTGATACTCTTAAGTTAATCTATACTTTAATGTGTCAATATATAGTACTATATATATTAATTTGGAGCTCTTGCAGTGAGTTTACAGTATTTTCTATTCATAACATTTAAATTAAAGTTTTAAGAAAACATGGAAAATATATCTGTGTCACCTTTCGTTGAAATCCGGGAGTGAAGGTTTCCTGTGCTTCCTCTTCTGTACTGCGTTTTTGGCTGCCTACCATCTTCGTTAATGTGCTCCTCTCACACTTGTCTGTGTAGCTATCACACTTTCCTTGAGAGACCTTGAGTGGGTGTGCGCTGCACAGTGAAATTCCTACTTCTTGTATTTAAAAGACAGTCGAGCAAAGGTCATGCCAAGTTGTTCTTGTATGACTGTCCCAAGGGAGATTAAAGATCAGCTCAAAGAAATCCACTGTGAGAAAGCTATTTAGCAGGGGAAGTCCCAAATCTTGCTGGGTTATTTCTCTTTTCCAAAGCAAGCCCCCTCCCCTTTCTATTTTCTCCCTGCAGCACTTATATGCTTGTTGTGGTATGCTCTGGAAAACAAATGCATTCCTGTTATGGCCAGAGATGAATGTCAGGATTGAATCAAAATTCATGAAAAAGGCTTTTGTTTGATCTGCACTGTCCCACAGTGGGGCTATGGCAACAATTTCAGTTTGATAAATTAACTGTGTCATTGTGTACTGGCTCAAATTATGGCATCACCTGAATGACAAACACTCTACTGTTTGTATGACAACTGACAAAGGATACTGTTTTATTTTAACACACACAAAAAAAATCTGGTCCATTCAAAATCCCAGACTATTTGAAGGAACATAAACTAGGTATATATGAAATGTAGCATCACTTTTTATTCAATCTGAACAATTTTGTGACATTGCTATTTTATAAATTTCTCTAGCATAGCTTAAAATATTTGAGTAATTTTTGAAATCTGAACCCCACATTACACTCAGTCATGCGATCCTGTCTTGTACATTTATTTTAAAAAGCAATGCATACACTAGGGAAAATATTTGTGTCCCAAATACAAGGCCATGCATATATCAGACAGGCATTATTTTTAAAGCTGCCAGTGTTTCTACGGATGTGGGTTGTTACAGCTAAGCTGACCTAATAACTAGTTATTGCTGAAAGGGGTGGTCTCATTCCCTCATGTGCTTGGGAAGAGCTTTTTGGCTGTTGGGGTGGTTGGGGGCACAGCTCTGCCTCTTCTGGCAGCAGTGAGCTGCTGCATTGGCTTTGGGTGCTTTTTCTGGTCCCATTTAAGACTAGGTCATCAGAGACCGTATAGCATTAAGAACTGGGTAAATAAAAGAAGTTATAAAGAAGGATCAATGTCTTGTAGTTTTTTGTTTCTTGCAGTTACCAACACAAAGAAACTCTTGTGGAGAAGGAAAATGTCAGTTTCAGAATCATAAACGTTCTCTCTTGTAGGTATTTGAAAATAAAATAGTATCTTCTGGCCGAGTAGTACTAGTTAAAACTTTTGTTAACCTATTCACTCTCAAATAGCTCTTCAGAGCTGGGAGCTATCTGCCCTTGTAAGATGCCACACATCACAATACAGGAGTGACTGCCTTCATCCTTTCATGAGCAGCAAATGCTCTTTGAGTAAATTCTGCAAACGGAAGTGGCAGGTTCCTTGGGTAGTGACTGAGGGACACCAGTCATGTCTGAAAAAAGATCAAGGTTCATCTGTGGCAAAACAGCACAAAAAAGCTAAAGTTTCTCAGGGTTTCACAGACACAAGCAGATCTTTTTATTTTATATTTTATCATTGCTATATTTATTTATAAACTATATATAAATATATAATCGATATTTAATTATATTATTTCTTTTTATATATTAAAGTAGGCTCTTAAAGCTTTAGCAGTCTAAGACTTTTAAAAACTGAAACGTATCATTTTCCAGACGCAGTTCTTGCTTCTCAGTTGAAGGCTGGTGTGTAATACTCTTTTGATACGTGTGAATGAAGGGAACTCCCTAAGATCAAGATAAGCAGAACAAATTCCACCTTCACCTCCCTTCCCCGCCAAAAATTAGGTGTAGGCAAGGAGAAAGCTAACAAGCCTCTTCTCAAACTGTTAATGCCCTTCACCACTTAAGAATCCCAGTCTGAATGTATTTTTTCATGTCTAGCAGGGAAAGAAAAAGAGGTAAAGGGATCTGGGAAACAGGAGAGCAACCATCACATTGTCCCTTCTATCACTAAACTGCACCACTACTACCTGTCGGAAGAGACCAGGGAGTACCTACTGAAGGAGTTCCTCAAACCTGTGACATAGGATAAGGATACTTACTCCAAATATGCTAAAAGAAAACCGTGGCTGCAGTAGGATCTTTCCCATAATCTGGCACGGTCGCCCTCATACGGCTTCAGTGGTTACATACATTGCTCAAAAGGGTGTGGGACATGCCTGTCCCTCCCAGCAGCTACCAGCCTGCTGCCAACAGGTTACAGCCTGGCTCCAGCTTTTTGGAGGATCACACATCAGCCACCAGTTCCTCCCGATTCACAAGGGTGCATTTATATCGTTTTTGCCCCGAGCAGTCTGGCACGCTGTGGCTCATAAGCCCCTCTATGCCTCGGGTAGGTACGAGGCCTGCTGGTGGCCGGCCGGCGTTGCCTGGCTGCCCTTGCGTCCCTCTCACACGCCTCCCCATTAATTAATTAACGCGCCCCGAGGACCACGGCTGCTGCCCCTGCTTCCACTGCCAAGCCCCAGCCTTCCCGTTAACGCCAGCCACCCGCCGG